CAAGAAAGTATGTTATTTTGAAGCATCGCTATTGTTCTGAAACCCATTACTTTTCCGACAAAAAATTGACTTGTCCTCTTTGACGTCCGTCTGAAAGAGATATATTACTTCTAGGTCGGAGCACTTGGCAGACAGGAGACGGGCACAGAAAGCTTGTTATTGTTCCATTTGTTTGTTTGTTTAAAACGTTAATGCATCTGTTGATGTCTGGATACGTTGCACTGGTGAGAAGGGGGGTATAAACCCCTTGGCTACGTCTAATCGAACACAAACAGTGGTTAGTGTTTGGGACGTGTTCGGTTCGAATCTCGGCTGACTTGGTCCACCATGTTTGCCAACCGCAGGGTCACTACCGTGAAACACCCAATGACCGCTTCCTTTCCCATTCAACTTACATTGCAATTTTCTCGTCTAATACTGCATTAAATAGCCTTTGCAGTTCGTAGAATAATGTTTAAAAAGTACGAAACAATAGGATGATAAATATTTCCTAATTAGTTTTCAGACAGAAGGTAGGAGAGTTGTAATTGTATTATAAGTCTAAAACTTTCAGAAAAATCCCCCCCCCAAAAAAAATCATGGATCCGAGAGTGCAGACGTCTCCAGTAAACCCCGACATGTGGACGCGATCCAAGTTTGTCGGCGAAACAGAAATACTGCCATTAACCTAAGAATAATTGCGCTCCGTAACTGTCAACTGAGTTTAAATGAGCAACTCGGAACTGAAGAAATTAGTCATGGTTAGTCTTTGGAAGATTTTAACATGAGGACTTCGCAGTTCAGTTACCAAAAGAATGCACGAAATTAAATCTTTTAATAAATAATATTAACCCTTTGAAGCCGAAGCTCGTCTAAATTACATTTAAGAATTCAGTCCGTACCGCGAAGAAAACACGACACTTCACCATTACAAAGATCAACTGGTTAACGCTGTTTAAGGAAATAATCGCTGTTTACAGTGAGAATCATAGTTCGTCTAAATTACATTTAAGAATTCAGTCCGTACCGCGAAGAAAACACTACACTTCACCATTACAAAGATCAACTGGTTAACGCTGTTTAAGGAAATAATCGATGTCTGTACTATGAAAATCATACGAAATTCACAATGCAGAATTACTGATTATTAAGACAGGTGGTATATGGAGTTACCACCAGGCTTTAAAGTGTTAAATGAAATCACATGATACTTACTACCAACTTGGATAGCCTCTAATTGTGTGCTGCATAATGTTTTTAATTCTTTTCTTTTTCTCTTGTCACTGCCCTCTCCTCCTTCCTCACGGTCGTGATCTACTCCTACCCGGCAGGTGGTGGCAGTAGTGTCCGTGTTCTTCATCTGCGTGTCGGTGCTGTCCTTCTGCCTGAAGACGCACCCCAACATGCGAGTTCCGGTAATCAGGAACGTGACGGTAAACGCGAGCCATGACGCCCGAGGCCGTCAGTTCGCCTGGACTCTCGACAAGGAGCGGACGGATCCCCACGAGGCGTTCTTCTACCTGGAGCTCGTCTGCAATGCGTGGTTCACATTCGAGCTGGCGGTGAGATCAGTGGTGAGTCACGATTCGTTCACACCTTCAGTTTGTTCGTAATTACGTCAGGGATTGCAAACACGTCGTTGCCTGATGACGTCGAGACGCCCTAAGGGATTAGACTGTTTCATGTGATGATATTAGAGTGGATTTTGAAGAAGTGGGAACGTAAATGTGGACTGAATCCACATGGCTTTGAATACTGACCAGGGGCGGGCTTCTACCAAAATAATTACGAAGCTGAGGGAATGTTATTTCCTCAAAAATGACTCTTCTCCATGAAGTCATTCGATGAAATGGATTTTGTATTATTCCAGACGCCAGTTCCATTGACCTGACATCTGATGTTCATGAGTCGTCATTACAATATTTTACATTAGTTTAATTTTACTACAGATGGACTTAAGTTTTCGTATCTGGATATATTTGTCGTGTTACTAAATACTTCGTGTGTCACTTCTCCCTCGTCGATTAATTATATTTATCAAATCATTGATCCAGATCTATCCGATCTAAGAAGAAAAATGACAGTCGTGTCCTCCCCCGTTTAAAACGCGAACCTGAAGGAGGATCCGCTTTTCGAAACGTCGTAAAGGGCGAAGCCCTAGTTGTGATTTGTTGATGCGCCCGCAGCATCCGAGCTCCGTAGACCAAGAGATCAGTCACAGCGAGCGTTCTGTCCCCGGTTGTAGGTCAGCCCGAATTTGCTGCAGTTCGTCAAGTCCCCAGTGAACGTGATAGACTTCGTGGCTACTCTCAGCTTCTACACGGACATCCTCCTGCAGAGCAGCGTGGCGCACCGCATAGACAAGGCGGACATCCTCGAGTTCTTCTCCATAATCCGCATCTTGAGGCTGTTCAAACTGACCCGCCATTCGCCAGGCCTCAAGATCCTCATTCACACGTTCAAGGCGTCGGCCAAGGAGCTCACCCTCCTCGTATTCTTCCTGGTCCTTGGCATCGTCGTGTTTGCCAGCCTCGTGTACTACGCAGAGCGACTCCAGGTATTTCATTTTAAGAAAATTCTAGGATTCCAAGTCACAGACGCCATGTTTACCCTCATTTTCTTTCTAGACGTCTTTAGTTTCGTTTTGTAAAGGTTAAAGGTGAAGTTGCCCCTCGTGAATTATGCACCACGCCGTGCAGGTGTATGGGAACATTGAGGTATAGCTCCACGCATTCTTAACGCATGCTTCACGCTCCGGCCGCTTTATACCCAAGGAAAGGGAAGGATGTTGGTACCCACCCAGTGGATAGAATCCTGGGTGAGCCCTGTAGGAGGTCTGGAGATTGACATGGAGAAAAATTCTGCCTTGCCAGGAATCGAACAATGGTCATCCAGTCCATGACCTGGTCACTACATTGTTTCCTTCCAGTCATATTTTCTTTATTTCTTTACTTTTCTCTTTTTATTTTCCCTTTTCCTCTGCATTTGTTTCTGATTTTCTTTAATTTCTTCCTTTAACCGTGTCTTCCGTCTTTAGCATTTTGATTCTTCGTCGTACATGAACTGTGATAATTTCCGTAGTGAGAACTTTGATAGGATTTTAATTAACAACGCGTGTGCGTTCAGAAACTCGAATTGCCTTGAAATATTTACAGTATCGCAACGCCATGTGGATTTTTCTTATAAAACATCGCGAATGACCTTGAGAATGTTACGAAAGCCTTAAAACGAAAAGGAATTGTGAGTAGGCGGATTTTCAGCCCAGAGAAACTTCCGCGTGGTGCAGAAGCTACAGACACGAGTGTACTTAAACCGTCAAGGGGGGTTCCAGTGACCCCCCCTTTACGATATTTATAACAGACCGAACTGCCATCTACTGAAGAGGCTTGGACAAGCCGAGAGGCAGGGCATCCGGGTGAACCGAATGTCTGCGACTGACCGTAGAAGGCCAGAAATATTCGAGTCACACGCCACCGGAATCTCGTCGCTTCGAAACCGCAACGCCGAATCCAGGACCGGATTTGCGTTTGGAAGTAAATTTCTTTTGCGTACGCTGTTTAATTTTATTTGTTCATCCATCGTTTCTAATTTAGCTATTAATTTATTTAACGACGCCGTCTCATATGCACAAATAATTATTGTGGATGAGACGAGAGACGTGGGAATTTTTTATTGGGCTGTGGAGGTGAGAAACCTCGGAATATTTATTATCCTTTCCGATTAAAACGCCTGTTTTGCCCACTGACCCGCGGTGCTGGTAACAAAGTATCGACCAGGGACACACGCGGACCCCATTACTTAAGTTTAATTATTTATATTTTTTAACCTATAGATATAATATCGAATCGGAATAAGTACATTTTTGAAATCAATTTCTTTCTTGTATCCAATTCATTCCGTGCACTTAAGTCGCTCTTTATTCAAATGTAAGCTAATATTCCGTTTATCACAATCTCTGCAGGGACTTAGATTTTGCTATGACCCACGTAGACCTTAATTTAATGCTTCGCTGGTTATTGTAGAGTGAACAGGCTTCAGAACCCTTGAAGCAAATTACCTGGCAATTAATTAGCTTTTAGACTTGGCGTCGTCTACTTAGCGATTCAGAATGAAATAGAAGCCTCGAAGTAACGAGAGGATATTCCAGTCAGATTCTCGAGTAGCTTAACGTTTCAAAGCGACACATATGAGAATCACTTCCTGAAAGACGTCCTTGTAACAACTGGACGAAACCACCTCAGAGGGGGAGCTGAATCTGCTGTGTCTACCTCACGTCAGACTGCGACCGGCGCCTAACATCGGGGATGTTACATTAGCTGCAGTTACGATGAATAATCTTGTTTCACGATGCCATAAGAACCTGTTACAGTTGTAACATAGTGCGATCATAAATTTCAGACGTTCGTGTTGTAATAATTTGTTATCGGTATGAGAAATTACTGTAACAATGTAATTTTAACGTAATAATCCATTCTTCGATGTGACGAGTTTTTGTAACAATGTAATTTTAACGTAATAATCCATTCTTCGATGTGACGAGTTTTTGTAACAATGTAATTTTAACGTAATAATCCATTCTTCGATGTGACGAGTTTTTGTAACAATGTAATTTTAACGTAATAATCCATTCTTCGATGTGACGAGTTTTTGTAACAATGTAATTTTAACGTAATAATCCATTCTTCGATGTGACGAGTTTTTGTAACAATGTAATTTTAACGTAATAATCCATTCTTCGATGTGACGAGTTTTTGTAACAATGTAATTTTAACGTAATAATCCATTCTTCGATGTGACGAGTTTTTGTAACAATGTAATTTTAACGTAATAATCCATTCTTCGATGTGACGAGTTTTTGTAACAATGTAATTTTAACGTAATAATCCATTCTTCGATGTGACGAGTTTTTGTAACAATGTAATTTTAACGTAATAATCCATTCTTCGATGTGACGAGTTTTTGTAACAATGTAATTTTAACGTAATAATCCATTCTTCGATGTGACGAGTTTTTGTAACAATGTAATTTTAACGTAATAATCCATTCTTCGATGTGACGAGTTTTTGTAACAATATAATTTTAACGTAATAATACTTCCCATGATTTGTGAAGTTCCTCAAACTGTCTCATTGTCCATTTGGATGTAACTGTGACGTAATAATGAGCGACCGTTTTCCACCTACCGGCAGCCGAATCCGCACAACGACTTCAAGAGCATTCCTGAGGGCCTGTGGTGGGCCATTGTGACTATGACCACAGTGGGCTACGGGGACATGGTGCCCAAAACGTACCTCGGCATGTTCGTGGGAGCGCTCTGCGCCCTGGCAGGCGTTCTCACCATAGCACTTCCGGTTCCTGTCATCGTCTCCAACTTCTCTATGTTTTACTCTCATACGCAGGTAAGGACTTGAAGAAACACCGCAAATCCAGAAGCGAAGCGGCATTGCTATTCGTGTAATCTTATTTTTCGATTGCGTGTTTTATAGTTCCTGTGACCTAAGGGAGAGATGACTTTGGGAAATAAAAAAAAAAAAAATTCGTTCACGAAGAAATTGGGGGGAGATTAAATTTGTGGAGCGCTTGCTACCTTTCTGTACAAAGACCCGTCTGCTGTATTAAATGTAAAGATTAAAATATGCAAATTGTTTTGAATAGCCGTGAAGCTTGGTCTCTCTCGTCAAGGGATGGAAGGTGTTCGAGGAAACGGTGGGCCCCTATTATTCTTCCTGTTGGGATGGGGTGAGACTGCGGCTGTCTGGAATAGACAAGAGGGTCGAAGCGACGCGACGCTGCAGAAAACTGTACAGCGAGGAGATTTATAATTTGCACTGTTCTCCAAATGTTATTATAATGGTCAAACAAAGAAGGATGAGATGAGATGAGATGAACGGGGCATGGGGAAATGAGAAATGCGTGCAAAACTTTGGTCATGAGGCCCTGAGGGAAATTTTTTTTGGAAAAAACAGGCATAGACGGCAAGATAATATTAAAATGAATCTTGTGAAAATAGAGATGGAGGTGTGGATTGGATTCATCTGGCACGGGATAGGGACCTGTGGACAGAGTAATGAAAGGTCTTAATTTCTTGACTGACTGCACGCAGCCCACTGTTGGCCTACAGAGGATGACTCCGCTCCATGTAGTTAGGTAGTTCTCACCTTCCCGGGTGTAGGTTACGACCGGCCCGAGGTTGCCTCTTTGGGCCACGTATCTCTTACGACTCCGTGCATCTTCTTCTGGGTCTTCCTATACCTCTTCTTACACCAGGGTTATATTTAATACGTTGTAGGAGTTTGAGAATATCTTCCATTCTTTGTAAAAGTCTTTTTCAATTTTGTTTGTAATTTACATTTTTTTCCCCAGGAGAGAGCGAATACCCAGGTCTCTCTCTTTAATATAATTGTTCGACTGCAGTCCTTTATACTCGGTACGTGTTTCATATGGCCATTCTGTGTACTACAAACTCCTAAATGTATCCAGATTGAAACAATTTTATTGACAGTGTTGGACGAGGATCTTGCGAGACGCACTTCACCAAAATGTACGGAAGATTTCAAAAGCGCGAAGTTGAAGCGGACGTTTCAATGTGTGCCTGCAAAGCTTACGTCATGCATAAGCGAAAATAAACAGGAATTTCTCTGTAGCGTCACTAAAGACGCTTTGAGACGCAGCTCATAAAAAAATTCTACGCCGAGTTGTGACACATTTGCACATGAAAGCGCATATTAATTTTAAACCTGACGGCAAGATGTAATATATAATAATTTTTTTTAGAGTGACAGTCGTCGTGTGAGTAATATCCACATTCCCATTTAATATTCCACTTATTCTTAAGCAAGCCATTGCTCTTGAAACAAATAAGGAAGTTTAAAATTAAGTGGCTTGGGACTGAAAATTCTATTTATATCTTAGGTAACTTAAGTGTGGCTTCGCACATACGCACATGACGTTATTAACTTAAACACCTTGAGACTCGAGGTAAGAAAACAGAGGAGAGAGGGACACTACGTTTCACGCTGGGGGTGACAGATATTTTACTGGCCCTCAAGGTTCCCATGCTATGCCCACTCGTCCCTCTAGTTAATGTAGGTTACAGAGAAGTGTACGCGTTGCGAAATAGTCCATTCTGTGTTTCGTCAATATCACCTCTTTAAAATTGTTGCTTTTTATTGATGGAGTAACAGTTGTGAAGGGCGTTTACTGCAGTGATGTGTAAATTTGTCATTTAGATTGAAAGTGAATAATATTAAAAAATATTTTTTACATAAAATAAAAATAAAAAATTCCTAGTGATATTTACGGAATAATCTCTGTATACAGCAAGACTGATAGGAAATCCGTAAACACATTCTGTGGGCAAGATGTAGAAACCCGCGCCATTGGACTCTATCCTGAGCCAGTTGAATCCAGTCCATAAAATACCCCTGATATTGCCACACTGCAACCTGCTTTACGTCTCTTATTGTGTATCCATAAACATTAATGGAATATGGAGTCGTGTTTGCTAACAGCTCATTGAATATCACAGATGATTCTGTAATGTTATAACATGAAACGCTCCCTCTGGGGATATAAGTTATCAATATTTGCGTGTGGAGACTGCGGTAATTATATGTGCCGAACGAGTTACGTCTTTGATGGTAGGCATTAACATTTAACAGCTCGTGCAAATCTTGTTCGTATTTGTGGACCCGTAATGGTTTACTGTGGTTTATGTAGTTCACGCAAAGCCTAAAGGGTCGCGTAACCACGGCCTCCTCTACGTTTGTCTGCGTCTTTCGGGTGTGAGTGGAAGGTTTTATTACATTCGGTTACATGTTTTGGGTAAGACCTTGCTTATTTTGATGCGTAGGGTTCTTTAAATTCTTGTGTGGATGCAAAGAGTTTACGAGGTAATAATTTTACGATTTCCTGCTCTTCTGCGTACATTTCTTATAGTTTATATTTAAACACGTAGAATATTATAGGGCATTATCGGTTGGTCTGTTTTTTTAATTTTAATAGATAAAATTACAATAATAATTTTCCCTAATCCTATTCTGGATCAACATGAAATTCTTGATATTCAATTTTAGAGTCGTCGAAGTATGCGCATAAAAAGCTAAAACTTTCTTTTTTTTCACAAAAATCTTATAAGATGTAACTAGAGAAATTGTTCACTCCTGAAGATATATTCCTCAGAAATATCTGCTTTTACTTAAAAGTATCACGTCGACAGTTTCACATTCTGTTGGAGGTTTCGCCACTGACACACGCGGTATAATAACGCCGTTTCGGATACCCTGTTACATTTTGCGTAAGAGTTCCCAACACGTATTTAAATTTCACGGTTTTACAATTCAGAGCACGGCCGCTTCACCTGCTTCGTTTGTTTGAAACGGAACACTGCCCTCGCTTGTTTTTGCTTTACACCCATTAGCGAGAGAAATGTTGCCCGCTGTGATCAATGTTACATATGAAGATGGGTGTGGACAAATTGAAAACACTGCGACCTCTCTTAAATCCCATTTCATCTACGTAATTACCAATTTTTATGTAACTGCGCGCATACCAAGAACGGCCGATCGAAGCATGTGCTTAGAATTTATACTTCATATTTTATAAATCCCGGATTGAAGTCATAATACTCTACCCCCAGGCAAATACCAGGACAATGCCTTAAAGTAGGCCACGGTCGTTTCCTTTCGTGAATTCTAGTTTCATTCTTCCTGTCCATTGTTTCTTTTTTCTCTCTTTAAAATTCGAAGTTCACTTTCTGGAAATATTAATAATCTAATGATTGGAGAACGTTCCGTGGATATGTGGGTGACGTCACGTAAATGGTTTTGTCCCAGGCTCGTTCGAAGCTGCCTAAGAAAAGGAGAAGAGTACTTCCGGTGGAACAGCCACGCCGGAAGCGAGGTGAAGGCGTCATGACTCGGCGCACGAACGCCATTAAACATCACCATCCCGCCATCTTCAAGGACGCCTTTGGAGGTGCCAAGATTGGTAAGTAATCGTCGCCTGCCGTTTCTGCCCGTTCGTTTGTGTTCGCAAGAATTTGACCTGAATGGCCGAAGGATTCCCCGGCTTGGGGCTCCCTATATAACTTGGTGTTTCACAGCTTATAATACCAGAATGTATACCTTTTAAAACTTTGGTCAGGGACTCCTTTAAGGAATACGCACATTTAGATAAAAAAAATTAATTCAAACGAGATCTTACAAGAAATTGGATTCAGCTCTTTTCACGGTGGTCTAGCGGTTAGAACGCTGGCCTTGTAATCCTGGGGTCTCGGGTTCGATTCCCGGCGGTGCCCGAATTTATAACTTGTGTTGGGAAAGGCCGTGGTCTAGGCAACACGGAGTTTTCCTCCGTGGCATCCCAACAGTTACTCCATTCACACACAGAAGAAGGCAATGGCAAACCACTTCTGGATCATCTGCCAAGAACGTATATGAACAGGTCCCAGTCCGAGAAAAGGTTGGAAGGATCCTGTTCATATGGACCTGTCGTCAGACAGAACACTAAATATATATATATCTCGATCCACTTGGGTATGGATTTGTTATAATAATCCATCTCAGAGCGCTACAAATTTCTGTTGCGTCATTTTTGTTTTGTCGGAAGTATTCGCCCGCGTAATTTTTCAAAACGTACGTATTTTGAAGTGGAGGTCGTGTGCCCCAATTTTTTTTTATTTCGCCGCATTTCGTTAAAGCATCAGAGCTAATCCGTACAGAACGTATCCGGGATGAGACCCGGAGCTCTTCAAGAGGCTTGCAAATGTACCGGAGCTTCGCCGCCTCTCTTCGTGTGTAAAGAAATAATTAAGAGGAAAGTGTGGAAGGATGAGGTAGGATTTGGGATATAAAAGTTTCTTGTCAAGAGACGTTTTCTCAGTCCGGGAAATCCCCAAGGAGCCATAAGACGACAAAACTCTTGTACTTTAAAAATCCTCTGGCTCACACTTAGATGAGGACTGGACCTTCACTTCCACCAACTTCAGAAACACAGGGCATATTCTTTACGCTGTATCCGAATGACGCTTATGAGCTGGTACAGTTCTGTCAAACAAAAAAGCGGCCACGAATTTCAGAGGTGCTAGTTGTCTCTATCGCCCTGATGATGGAGGCAGCAGGGGCCTCTGAAACGTCAGTAAACTTCGACCAGACTACACGGCTCAACAACCCAGAAGACAGAAATCTTCATATTCATCGCCCTGATGATGGAGGCAGTATGACCTCTGAAACGTTGGTAAACATCGACCAGACTACACAGCGCAACAACCCAGAAGACAGAAATCTTCATATTCATCGCCCTGATGATGGAGGCAGTATGACCTCTGAAACGTTGGTAAACATCGACCAGACTACACAGCGCAACAACCCAGAAGACAGAAATCTTCATATTCATCGCCCTGATGATGGAGGCAGTATGACCTCTGAAACGTTGGTAAACATCGACCAGACTACACAGCGCAACAACCCAGAAGACAGAAATCTTCATATTCATCGCCCTGATGATGGAGGCAGTATGACCTCTGAAACGTTGGTAAACATCGACCAGACTACACAGCGCAACAACCCAGAAGACAGAAATCTTCATATTCATCGCCCTGATGATGGAGGCAGTATGACCTCTGAAACGTTGGTAAACATCGACCAGACTACACAGCGCAACAACCCAGAAGACAGAAATCTTCATATTCATCGCCCTGATGATGGAGGCAGTATGACCTCTGAAACGTTGGTAAACATCGACCAGACTACACAGCGCAACAACCCAGAAGACAGAAATCTTCAAGGAATTTATTGATCAGCTTAGCAACTACAAACTTGTCATCATCATTGAGTCAGTGATTTAATTGGTCGGTCATGATATTAAACAATCGTTTGGGTATCTGAAACATTCTTTTGTTTTCTATTGAAAATCGCTCTAAAATTTATGATAACAGAGGAGAGGCGTTTGTTTCAGTGAAATGAAGATTAAAGTACCAAATTTCTCTTTACAGAACGTGGATTCACCATCATTTGAGATACGACCCTTTCCGGGTCTTGTTTTGGGGACATGAACAAAACTGGGAAACCCAAGGTCTTTCAGAAGCAGCTAGTCCAGTCCCTTTGATTTTTGTTTACGCTGTGTTCCTGTAGTTTTAAATATAATTTTACGTCTCATAATTTTATTGCGTAATTGTAACTGGTGTAATCAGTGATTTTATGTTAAAAGTTTACGACATTTTGTGGTGAAATATACGAACTAAAAATTCACATTTCTGCTGTACACGTGTTTGTGTTTGTGTAAATATCAAGAATGAATTTAAATTCCGAAGGTTTGAGAATTAACTGAGTACAATCATACTTCTGATCGTCGTATTTCGTTTAGAATTCGTCATTTTCGCATTTAAGTCATTGAAGCTCGTCTAAATTACATTTAAGAATTCAGTCCGTACCGCGAAGAAAACACCGCACTTCACCATTACAAAGATCAACTGGTTAACGCTGTTTAAGGAAGTAATCGCTGTTTACAGTGAGAATCATAGTTCGTCTAAATTACATTTAAGAATTCAGTCCGTACCTCGAAGAAAACACCACACTTCACCATTACAAAGATCGAATGGTTAACGCTGTTTAAGGAAATAAACGCTGTTTACACTGATGGCACGTGAATGTCTACATTACTTTTAGCTGTAAAGTTATAGTCACTTACATCGTTATTGAATAAACATGTACCATAAGCGTTTAATTACGTGCTGAAGTGTTATTTATTCTTGTTACAAATAATATGGCGTATGTTCCGAGTATGACACATGGTTGGGATGGGCCAGGGTGATTTAGCAGCCTAATAACGAAATTAACTCGAAACGTGACGACGTATGACCTCTTTACCTGGAAATAATTTCCATTGCAATTATATCTGTTCTGGTTAATATTTCATAAAGCTGGGAACACGGTCGATATTCTGAGGGTTCGGCACATGCGTGTCAATTGTTTGTACACGCACGTTGAGTCAGTCGATAACAGATGGCATCTAATCTTAGTTCCGTCATACAAACTTGTCCTCCTGTGATATCCAGAATATCTTTTCGTTTTATCGAAGATCTAGAAGGTTGGTGGGGTAGTCACCCTCATTTGTTTTCTGAAGTTCCCGGTTTTATTTCGGCCTGTTTAGCAACTTTCTTAATGACATTTTCATGTCTTTGGGTGCCTGAGGAAAATCTGGGTGATCATCTTTATGCATATGAGGTTTGGGGTTTCCTCTGCGGTGAAGATGATGATGTTCTTTTGGGTTTTGGCGCCGTGTGGGACGGTCGATGGACGCACGTAGGACATTATATTAATCTCCTTTCCTGTAATTAGATCCAAGCTTTTCCGGTCCTCACAACTCTGTTCTCGTCTGTCTTCGCCTTGCCTCGAAACTCTGACATCTACCGGCGAATCTACATGGTGCCATATCTCATACTTGAGTTCAAACAGAATCACGAAACAAGTTGTGACTGAATTAAGGATTGTATGCAGTGGTCATGACGATAAACATTATCGTTCTGCAAAGACGGGGAATTTTTTTTTAACTAAGCGACTCTCAGCTTCTTGTAAATAAATCTTACGCCATGTAGTTCGTCACTTATTTAATTCCATTTTCATGTGTAATTTAAGTAACAAATAAACATTGAAATTTCTTGGACATGAGTAACACCACTTTGGTGCAGTATGGGATTCAAACACCCGAGTGTTATAATGTGAACCAGAAATGTTGTCCTGTTTTTAGGTTTTTTTGTTTTCACTGAAAGAAATGTCACTGTAATGCACTTAAAAGAGACCATGACCATTTCCTTCCACATCCTACACAATCGTCGTTCTGCAGATTGCGTAACATAACGAACATGTTAGAGAAAACTTCATTAAACGAAAGCAAGACACAAGGTTCGCTTGCAGTGGCTTGCTCGTATGATCTTGACCTTTCCGTGTTTCAGGAAACGTGAATGGAGTGAACGTGATAGGTCTTGCATTACAGGGCCCCTCCATCCCAGGACTGCAGCTGGTGCAGAACACGGCTGGTCGCCCCACGTCGGCCCTGGACATGGGCTACACCTACCAGCACCCGCTGCAGGCGAGGGGCCCGACGAGAGAATATGCAACAAACAAAGGTAGAGCCATCTTTTCTAAGAGCATATTATTGTCGATTTTTTTTGTACTGTTAAGTCAGCTCTTTACAGTATTATGCACAAAACATGTTTAACTAACGGCTGTTAAATGTAATTGGATGATCCTTGCTGATTGACAGTTGTGGTTTGCCTGCATGGAAATCTTTTTTCCCCAGTACATGATGTTGAGACCAGTCTGCCACTCCTTGTGGGGGCACGGGCACTCATGGGCCCCCACGCGGGCCCCCAGGCTGCTGCGGTAGCAGCAGCAGTGACATCTCTACCGCCGCTGCAGCCCCGAGCAGCCACTACGGGGGGCACTGACCTCCTGTTCCCTCAACAGGTACAGTGTGTTTAGAAATTTCAAAATGTCTTATTTGCGGTTCCACTCCAAGCACGAAGCTTATATTCTTTGTTAGCAAATTTAAACTAAGATTTGATTTATTACAAATGTAAATCTAAATCTTTCGTCTTATCCGTTTATGCTCAAATCCTGTGGTAGAAATGAGCGTAAAAAGTTCCACGCTCTCTGGTCAATTCACAATTTTGCTTTTCTCATCTCTCATCTCCTTCATGCATAAAACAAGTTCCGTCAAACTTGGCCACTTTTATGTACTCGTGATAATAATATCTGTTAAAGTGCACAGATCATGAAATTCTTCATTTCGCGGGTTTTCCCAGCCCCTGGTACGCCGCAGAATTCTTCTCGACGCGTTATTCTCAAAATTTTTGTCCTTCCAGTGCATAGAGAGAGGATCCAAAACTTCACACCCATAAAGAGTCATATAATATTAGAATTTCAAATTGAACTAATATTTATTCTCTGTAAAGAGTGAAAAAAATCTTACATTTATCTTTCAGCTCAGAATTTCTTGAACAAGAGTAATATATGACATTTTTGGATTTTCACGGTTACGAAAATTCAGATCGTGGTCTTGTGGGTTATAACACCACGCAGTCTTATACGTGGTTACCGACGTTTTAAAGTAACTTCCGTAACCACGTCACGCCACAGCCTAGGAGTGTTCAATGCAAACAGTGAAAGGTACGTTGTTTTCTTCACAGCCGAGGGTGTTTCCAGCTATTCTGCCGGCGGCTTTCATGGAACATCAGGAACCAGTCCCGGAGCCTTCAGGCACACAAGTTCTCAAGTGTGAAATAAGTGACAAGATTGTGACTACTGTAGCAACCCAGGAGAGGTTTTGAGGACCGGGAAAGGTCGGAGAATCTTAATACTGACATATTCTGTAGGTTACAAATCTTCTAATGGCACTCCTGTCGCGTGAATAACGTATTCTAGAAATCCCTTTGGAAACCTCCGTTGAATCTGACTGTATTTTACATCTCTGTTTAGTCACGTTTGAATTCGCATTGGTTCTGGGGTGTCGTGACATTATTTGCGCTATATTTTATGTATATTTCCGCAAGGGCATAAATTTCATAAGAGGTATGTCTGGCGATCTAGATTTTGACTTATGGGTCACCCGGCACTGGGTCTAGATGTGCAGCCCATCAGTAAGTACCTCTGCCCTGCGTACATTGTGGAGATACCCGCCTCTCAGTCATCGTGATACGAGAGGGATCTCAACATCTCACGAAAGTCATCAAATATTATGTGGACACCAGGAATGTCTTTAAAGTAGAAGGGGAAATTTTCTGCAGTAACTGTTGGCAGTTTACCAAATTGTGGTAATACTTTTTAATTTGTGAAGAAATTTAAATTAAATCAAAATATAGTATTTGTTTCTGTACAATAAAGGGGTCCTAATTAAAGGTGTCTTTAAGGATATTACAGCCAATCAGGACATTCTGTAATGTAAGACCAATGAAACTTACTCTCATACATTCAGAAAATTTCTTGTGGATTGACTTTTTGGTAATAAATAATTACTGTATTTAATTTTTACGATCACTATGCCTCGTGAACAACAAAGCTATAAGGGAAGGCTATAATAATTTCACCAGCCACTAAGGAAGCGTGGATATCAAAGGGGTTTTCTTGTTTTGTTGCGTCGATCATGGATTTCCTGAATTCTCTTTCCGTGGATTTATGATATTCCTGCGTGGATCGTAAATTATTTAAAGTTTCAGTTCAACAACTGTTGAAATTAAATCAACTCCTGAAATGTGTGTCAATTCCAAAAAAAAAATATTTAAACTTGCACTCGTCTTTGGCGGCTAAATAGAAGATCTGTTTATTGATCTGCAGTTTTAAACATTCTCTCATAGATCCTCGTTACGTGAGTGATGTTCATTTGTCTAGATCTTGTGGTGGATACCGTCCACAGCCAAATAAAGTAAAAGTTGTTGAGTATTTAAATAATGACTTCACAAGAATTTTGTTTATTCGTCGAAATAAGACAAAGTGTAGCCAAAAAGACTTGTGTTTGATGTACACGTGACAACGCCTCACAGTGATATTTGGAGAAACAGAACTTTTGACAATATGCCTATGTTCTCCAGCATGAGTGTTTATTCGGCTCATGATCTTGTACAGCGTCTGATATTCGGAGTAGCTTTAGTGCTTCTGTATCGCAAGGAAATTGGCTCAAGATGATGGCAGTTTTAGAACGGGTGCGTGGCTGTTCAGCTCGGAGTTAAGATAGTGTGTTTATTTTACACCCAATACCTTTAACTTAAGACGCAAATAATATTTATTGTTGTTAATAATCACTGTTACAAAGAAAATTGCTCAATGACATGTGTACTTAAACATGGGAATGACGAACGTCGTTGGAACCAGTATTATTTCAAATTGTCAAATAACAAAAAATTGTACGTGAAAATGTTTTTCGAAATATTTACATTTCTAATTCAAATCACGTTAAAATTAATGAGAAAATTGCACATTTGATAAAATTACTATAATTTTAATATTTTTTTTACAGTTCAAATCTACATTGAAAATGCTCTAGACTTTCAGTACATATAAGAGATGGTAATTACAGTTTTAATGCTTTAGTTTTCATGATTTTGTTTGAAATTATTAATTTGTGTTTAAAATTACACACCCAAATGTTGTAGATTCCTATTACGAAGGTAACTGTGGAGATACGAGATGCTCGTCTCACACTTGAGTCCTGAAGTTTTTATGTCGCATTTATCGCAGAATGTGCCTTCCCTCAATACATAAATAAATACGAGCTAGTTTCATTTATAGTGGTTTAACTTTTAATAATATTATCAAGGAAAAAAATTATAATAAATTAAAGACATACTTTAATGGTTTTGATAATGTCGAATAACATTCAAAATGCATTAGACAGTATTATCATTTCATTATTATTTTTTTAATAAAGTTTCATATGCTGAACTTCATTATCTGTAGGCCTAATACATTCTTAGTCTTACAAGTTCTCACTGAAATTGTTCTGGATGAAGTTTAAAATTTATTTACGTATCTGTGACCCAATTTTTTTAAGATGAACGCTTACACTGGTAATTTTACAACGTTAAAATATACAGACTGAGTTCTTAATGTTAAAGGTATTAGGTCTATATTAAGCTGGTTTTAAAACATGTACACAGTAATCTACGTGTTCAACCATATTTTTAAATTACGTATCTTCATCTCACTTCCATGTAAAATCGATTAGTGAAACAAAATCTCAATGAAGTGCAAAGGAAGCTTTTAAACAAATATCAAACATTATATTCTAAAATATAAAGATGTGTAAATGTTGTGGAAGCCGCTTCTCAGGCAGTTCTGGGGGCCACAAAATCTTGGATAATGTCAAGCAATTTGGAAATGATTTTCGTGGCGAGATATTCTATGGATTAATTTTATTATCTTACTGTGAAGTGGAAAGAAGAAACAGTTTACATTAATGTAAAATCCATTACACAAAAAAAAAATCACAAAGTTCGGTATTTGTGAAACATGTAAAAGTTTCTGGGTAAGTCATAGTGATGGCATGAGATTGCGCAATGGTTGCAGGTTTATGTGCTTATTGTGTACAAAGATTTGAGATACATTTCTACAGAATTTTATAAAGTTCAGTATTTAAACTGTTTCGTGTATTCATTTGTTATGGTGACATAGATTTCTTAACAAAATTAGAATATATTTTATGTGATGTAACATTAATTTATTTATATTATTTACTCACTCCTTATGAATGAGAAGCTGATGATAGGTAAACATGAGGAATGCTATTAATTTTGAAAATTTTAAAATTTAAAAAAAAAATAGAAATGCTTATAAATGTCATGACAAGCAAAAATTTCGAATAAAAATTTGAAGTCGGGATTTTACAAAATGTTTTAGTTTCGTGCGTTATTTTTACATTTTTCTTAATTTCTTCATTTTTCAAACGTTTCGAAAAATATGAAAATTATTTTTAAAATTCTCCCCACACGATGACTGATAGAACCGGCCTCTGCATGACTCGGTCGCTGCCGCACCCTGTCTCTGAAGGACCCGGTCTCAGTCGCACTCGAACTCTACACGAATCTTTCTCTCTATTTACCGATCTCTGCCAGGCCGTCTCTGCATAGACATGTTTCGAAACAGTCCATGTGAGTCGCATACCGAGTCAAGCAGAGACCGTGCGTGGCAGAGAGCGAGACAAGCAGGGACGTTGTGAACCACTCTGCGAGTGAAGCATAGCGACTGTGTGGCACAGGACGGGTCAAGCAGGCAACTGGTGAACCTGAGTGTCAAGCAGAGGCGCGTGTGGTACAGATCGGTATCGGTAGACGGGTTAAGGCAGAGACAGTCTAGGAGAGAGCATATGTTGCTGAGACCGTGTCTGATAGGGAAGAGGTGTGATAGGTATAGGCTTGCGAAAATTTTCAAAGAAATTTAGGAATTTTTCAAAATTTTTGAAAAATCAAAAAATGCAGCAAAACGTCTGAACGGCGCACAAAACTCAAAATTTTAGAAAATTTTAGAAAAAAATATTTTCCGTAATTTTTCAAAATTTCTTACTTTTATACGCCTTTTGGACATTTTCCTGCATTTTTAATTTTTCGAAAAAATTTCAAAATTTTCAAAAATTTTCAAAATTTCGAAAATTTTAAAAAGTTTGTAAATGGTTTCAAATGTCATGAAAAGCGAAAATAACTAAAAAAATCAAATTTTCGAAAAACGTTTTGAAAAGGGAATGCTTCTCGCCACGTCACTGCAAGATCGAGTGTCTGCATGGCCGTCTCTTTTGCTCCCAGTCACTGTCGGACTCTTCGTCAATGCACGTACCGTTGTCTCTCTACGTTCTCTGCGAGGCAGACTGTGCAATGACCTGTTACGACTGGGACCGGATGAGGCACAGACCGAGTCTAGCAGAGACCGTGTGAGAGACAGAACGTGTCAAGCAGAGATAGGGTGAATCACAAGCCGTGCATAATTTAGTCAATTGAGTCACAGACCCAGTTAAACAGAGACCATGTGGGGCTGACACCGTTTCAAGCAGTGACCGAGTGAAGGGGGGACCGTGTCCGGCAGAGTCGTTTAGGCATAACGTGGGATGCAGAGAACTATTCGTTTAGACTTGGTGTGGCAGACACGTGGTCTGTCAGACATCGTGCGTGGCAGATTCTTGTTCTGGTGAAGATCGGGTGGGGAAAATTTGAAATTTATTTTAAATTTTTCAAAATTTTCAAAATATCGGAAAATGCTGGAAACTCCCTAAAACGCGCACAAAATGTAAAATTTTCGAAAAGTAAAAAAATTTTGAAGTTGAATTTTTTTTTAAAAAAAAGTTTCAGCTGTTGGCTTCGTGGTCTTGTCCATGGCATGTATTCTGCTGGAGCGTCCTCCGATGGACGGCCGGCTAAAATGAGTACAGTTTCGCCCAATGAGGACGATACTAGACTATCGTCGGTCTGCGAGACTTACCTGGTTGTATTCTGTGAGTGTGGGTCTGACGTGAATCTTCTTCCATTTATCATCCTTGAAATTACATTAGGAACACGCCAGTTAATTTTATTATTCACAATTCATTAGTGATTCAGCTCGTTCACTGTATGCACACACCCACCCACTTTCATCTATTACTTGCAGAATTGGATATACAACAAAGACATTATCTTTTGTTGAATATAAAAGGAACAAAAATATTTTCATATTTTGACTGTCAGTACCTACTGTTTTCATCTGCCCAGTGAAGTTAAAATCGAAATAGTAGGATGCAATATACCGAGACAGTTTTCTACAAATTCCCAGTTACTATATCATCCCGTTACTTCAGATAATCAGAAAAATAATTCTCGGCGTGTAGTTTATCTACTGCAGTGAGCATGCTCGTGGAAAGTTAATGATTTTCAACATTTGTCAATGTTCTCCACAATAACACGAAGTGTACGGCCTTCTCGCATTGGGCAATTCGCAAATTAAATGGTAACTCACACAAAAATGTTTTGAGGGCCATTCGGAAGCCACAGGTTTCTGATATCTGATCTAGATCACAGACAATCATCATAAGAAGACAAGGGTTGAGATAAAATAAATGAGACAAAGGAGAATCAGCTGATTCTAAAGGAAGAACTCCACATGCGACGCATCGCAGCCAAGTTTGTGCCAGAAGCAGAATCGACTTCTCGTTTGTCAGGAGCTCAAAGATCTTGCAAGAACCGACCCCAACTTCCTTTCTAAGCTCCGTGTGACTTCTTCCTCTTGCCAAAGATGAAAATTCAGCTAAAGGGAAGGAGATTTGAGACGATAGAAGAGATTCAAGCAGAATCGCAGATGGTGCTTGACAGGCTGACAAAGAAAGATTTCCAGGGATGCTTCCAGGCTTGGCAGCGGCGCTGGGATCGTTGTGTTCACTCCCAGGAGAACTACCTCGAGGGTGATGGATGAATTTAATACCTGAGATAAGTGTACGGATTTTTTTATTTTTTATACGCGCAGTCTTGAAACTTTCTGATCGCACCTCGTACAGACAGAACGTAACGAGGACAAGGAGACTGGGAAAATATACGTAAAAATATATGTAACCACAATCATGTGTCGGAAGTTCTGTGCAAGACAAGGTTAGGCAATGCCTGAAAGAGCTCGTGATATTCATGTCATTTGATATTACTTTCATTCTCCGCATCGAAATTTCCCTCACTCGTAGGCAACCTTCAAGAACTTCAGCCCACATAAATCAATATATATATCGACTGCCTAGCACGTGCGGCAACTTCTCCGACATACCAGTGGTGCGTGCAGCCTAAACACTTCTATTCAGGGGCAAGTCATTGAGTGGGAACCGACACGTGATGTTAACGACGTCCACGATGAGCAGAATTTGTGCTGAATGGCCTTCCACTTAAGCAAAAGAATGTCTACCGCTCCGAATCGTTCCTACAAGAACGCTATTATCATGTATGAAGATTTTAATTCAGGGACAATTTACCTTCCACATGCATACACAATTTTAGTCGGGAAGTATCAAGACAACACGTCAATTGTGACAGATTGTGGACTGTGGACTGTGTGGACTGAGTTCAAATGTCTCAGGGCAGAGACCACTGACGAGCTCTTTCGGACAAGAACAGAGGGGTTTAGTGACTATCAGCTTGACTTAACAAACACTTCATCGAATTGGTTAGTGCCAGTCGCTTATAATCAGAGATTTATAAATTCGCTGACTTTAAAAAAAGTCATGTTACTTGCGAGGGATACGGCCAGTGTTATCATCCGATTCTTCCGAAGAAACTTAGAAAATAAATACATACCTTCAATGGGGTTTATTTTTGTCAGCGGATAATCGAGGAACACACGGCTCGTCCTCGTAAGTATCACGACGCGCTGTTACTGACGGACTGACGTCTGCACACTGGTATTTAAAACGCTGGCGATGATCTTACTCAGTCCCTTGCAGCAAGGGATCTTCAAAAATGCAGGCAACTTAACCCGCGTTATATTGGGGTAGTGTTTCGTGGTGTGAGAAAGTTTCAGTTGTCTGCGGCTCTGAGAATCCTGAAAATATGACGTTCTATAATTAGACATACGACGTATTCAGAACCTATATCGAAAATTTGTTAAAAGAAACAGACTCATGAGAGATGGAGTAGTACATTAGAAGATAATATTAAAACAGATCCTAAGGAAATAGGTAAAATGTATCAACTGAATTTGTCTTGGTCTGAATACGATATTGTGGGCATTATAATGAATATTCAAGTGGGGAATTTCTTATCCAGCTAAGCCACTATAGGTTTCACAAGAAGTTATCTGCTGTACGCAGTTCGTGCTACACGAACTGGCAATCTCGACTTATTTTATTTGATGATTAAAACAACAACGCAGCTGCTATCTGTAGCCTAATCAAGTTTTCTTATTTAATCTACATATTAGGTGCTTATAATTTTCTCGTTAATTTATTTAAAGCTCCTTTAAGCACCTCATCTTGCCACTGAGTGACAATTTTAATTAGTTCCTCCTCAGCGGTTAAGAAGGGGTTTATTTTTCTTATTCTATTAATGAAAGGTAAATGCAGTTTTTAGGAAAACTGCTGATCTGTAATTAGCTCCTTTGCAGATTTCCACTCTGGATTACTCAGAGTTTTGAGTAATTGTGTAAAAAGCACAAAGGGTGTTAAACCTCAGTGTAAATCTCAGTGCGCCGTTAAACATCAGACATATATTGACTCACACGCAATATAAAAGGAAGTAAAAGTGAACAGGGGAGCCAACTAAAACAGCCGGAGTTACCATGGCAACGGGACGGATAATAACGTCACTTCCGCACATGCGTCAAGCTCCAATCGCGTATGCGCATTCTACAGGCAAATCGACGACGAAAAGGCAGCGGGTGTGGAGAGAACGGATCGGGGGGACACAACGCAGTTTCGCGAGACGCTCGCTTGGTGGCGCTAGAGGTGGTGACGCCCGGCGTCTTCTGTAAACGCCGTCGTTTGTATAACGCGAAGAAGGAAAAGTCGGCTTCGAAACGAGAGTTTTCCGGACTCTGACTGTGCGCTATGAGGGGAAGCTGATGCCATGTGTTTGTGCAAGGAGCGTGTGGGGTGTTGCAGAGTGAAACTTCGTCATGGAGGCAACCCCTACTGAAACCACCCGCACTTCTGCATAGTGGCCAGCGTCGCTGAGAGATTCAACAGAAATGAGAAGACGACGGGTGAGTGTTAGAACGCTAGGAAACGCCCCGTATAACCCGTACTCCCCTGCCCAATTGTTTTTTTTCAATTACCGTAGTTGTTACGCGAATCCTTATGTACGCATCTTAAACCTCGATTGTTATAAAGGACGTGCAGTGTAGTCTACATTGTTCACTAAAGGGAACAAATTCTGATGCCTCCGGGGGTTCTAATAAATTTGGATTCGTAAACCTACTATAACAATGAAGTGTGAACAAAGGAAGTATTGAAGATGACGGCAGAAACTTTTTTTTAAAAAAATTATAGGAATTAGCATCCTAACAAATATAAGTCATGAGTCATAAGTAATTCGCTTTCACACAAATATTATTAGAACCCACTGAAATCCGCCCAAATCTTGTACACGTATAATTTGTAAAATACGTATAGATAATAATAAATTACAGAAAGCAGATCATTTTATATTCTTAATATAAAGTAAACATAAAATAAAACAGCTACAAGTCTATTACGTGTAATAATTAAATAAAACACACTTTGTATAAATATAAGTCATTAACCTAACGTAATAATAATTAATTAAGCCTCTATTACATGGGTGTGAAACCTGGTCTCTCTTTGTATACAAAACAGAATACTGAGGAAAATATTTGAACCTGTGTGGGAGAGTAAAAGGTGGTTACAGAAAGACGTGGAATGAGGGGCTTCCTAATTTCTACTCTAGACATCAGTACGATAAATAAATCAGGATGCATGAAATGGGCGAAACATGTAGCTCGCATGGACGACATTAAAAATTCATTGCCATACTTTAGTCAGAAAACTTAAACAAAATAAACCACATGGAATATGTAAGTGTAGATTAAATAATAATGTTAAAATTTACGTTTTATATATATATATATATATGTAGGCGTGCATTAAATTATCCTCATTTAGGACAAGGTCCAATGGCTGGCTGCTATGCACATCGTAATAAAATAGTCGAATGTGGAGTCACGTAGCGAGGATAGGTGGTTACCAATATTCCCGATAACATGAGTCCACGCGGCGTTACAACCCAAAAACCAAAATCTTTACCCCCGTATGAACGTCAAGTCTCAACACAAATCACAAATTTCGGGTTAATAAGAGGCAAGGCACATACTGAACGGCTGAGCTATTATCAGCTTCTCAACTAGTCTGGTATATGGAGTTGTCAAGATACTCTACTCTTTGAATCCTTAACTCGTCCTAATAGTACTTAATAGTTAAGCCCGTACCGCGAAGAAAACACCACACTTCACCATTACAAAAATCAATATCTTAACGCTGTTTAAGGAAATAATCGCTGTTTGCACTGAGAATCGTATTAAACACATAAATTCGAAATTAAGAGTTACTGAATTTGAAGCAGGTGGTACATATAGTTACCATTGGGCTATAAAAGGGTTAATTATACAACTACGCAGACAATGAAATCATTAACGGAATGAAGGATTAATTTTCACGTACTTGGAAAAATTAGAAAGTTGGTAACACTGCTCATCTCGTAGGGTAGGTGTGTTTTTTAACGTTGAATTCCAACATTGAATCCAATCAGCTGTGACATTAGAATGTGATTCCTGTCACGTGACGTGAATCTTTTGATTTATTGCAGACCGTAAGTCATTCCGTGCTTGAAATCTCTCTTGCCTGGAGCCTGAGACGAAAGCCAAGACTTTGAATTCTGTTCCCAGTCAGACCATCCATTATGAAAGTCTGTCGCTTGAAAGAATTACAATATTTACTCGAAACGAAGCCATTGAAGAGTGTTCCTATACCAACAGTTTACAGCCTCGAACCCACACACACGTGGTGAGAATAAATAACTGAACTGTGATTAACCGAGAAAACATGTCAATTGTCCCTACAAAATTACGCATAAATTTCAGAATGATTGATTCGTAGGTTATTTTGCGACACTGTATCAATTCCAGAGCTTATATAAGATCGGAGAAAATACCACAACAATCCATAATAGTGGATGGTGAGGAATTTGGTAGGAAAGGCATGCATTATATCCGGACGTAACACAAACGAAGTAATAAGAGGTTGAGGTGTTTTATACGTGTGATTAAATCGAGGATGCGATATGCAGGAGACCATAAATCTATGTAACATTTTAGTCGAAAAACCTGAAGGGATTCGAGTATAATATTAAAATGTAGCTGTTTATGTGGACTGAATTCAAACTGATCCGAACAATACGCTGGTTGTCAGTCATTAAATCGTGAATGGATCTTCGGGGTTTTATAAATGACGGCAAATTTATTGACCAGATAAGCGACTACGAGGTTCTGAAGGCCAAGGAGGTCATTACTCACTCCGTTACTTTCGCGCTTTGTGGCAATTCACATTCTGTTCTTCTCTCGAAGTAAAGAACCGATGTTTTTAGGACCGTATAAAGAACTTTATACGTGCTTCACAATATTTGATTCGACAAACGATTTCGCTGTTTAAAACCGATTCTATTTAATTTACATTCTGGATTTCATGTGATGAACCAAGCCAAGTTTTGTATAAGTTCCGTGTGTTCCTGCCCTCAGGCTCTTAGCAAGGTCAATCAATCCCTACACTGGACCGCTTATGTACGATTTCACAAACATTTACGTTATTCTCTATTAATATTTATGGCCTTCTATTTACAAATGCCTACGTTAATTTTGAAACTGGCAAAGAAGAATAATTTATACGCATGACTGCGACAGAGACGTTCCTAAATCTTACATTCATTTCAATATTTTAATATTTTATTATCTTATTATTAAAAATTGTGATTTGACGGAAAATATTAACTTAATTCACAATATGACGCAAATATACTACCTTATTCATTTCAATGTCTCGCCCGTGCCCACGACATACGACAATTTCTGCCTTTGTGTTCCGTCAATATGTAATAAACTCATTAGCTATAACACACTCAGGTTAGCGCAGTGAAAACTCGTCAATAGGTGTCAACGTTTCGGAGAAACATACTGTCTCCATCTTCAGGGCTGTGCTATCACGCCCAATCCAATTGTCAGAGTAATGTTTATCAGACCGATTCATCAAGCAGGTAACTATGCAATCACGTGGTATCTAAAGGAAATTTTGTGGGATGGGACAACTTCACTTACTTACCTACTAAATAAAAACTACTCGAATACCATAGAATTTATGTTACAAACACAAGCTCTTCGTTAGCGGAAGGTCGTCCAGTTGGTCGGCCTGACGCAATGGCTGTAGCGTGTAACCGACTTCAAACCCCCCCCTCCCCCTCACCTTCTGGCGAACGAGTGTTCGATACTGTGGCATGAAGTTCAGGCTCACAACGGACGAACAAAAACACTGCATTCAGTGTCCCACTTAGTTTCACCAAACAGTACGATGAAAACAGGCATACCACGCAAAAGACGGAAGGAAAAAATTCTGAGATAACCACGATAATTCACCAACGTCCTCGATTTAAACCGGCGATCTTTACGAGTACCAGCTACTGTACTGACAAGTTAGGTTTCAATCTATTTGAAAATCAGTCTTTCACAGCAGCCCTGAAGATGGAAGTATTATGTTCCTCCGAAACGTTGTTACCCACCTACAAGTCCACAAGTGACGTCAGAACCCAGAAGATAACGATGGATATTGAGAGCTGTTCTATATATATTCTTAAATTCAGGGGTGTACAACTTTTTTTAAAATAGTCCCGTCTTTCATTGGTGAAACATGAAATGATGGTTAAAGCGTTGAGTGGGTTGCAATCGCTTTTAGAACGTTCACGTGAATACACGTTCCCGTTACCACTAACTGCCTACATGGGATGAGGAAAAGGAAACACAACATGATTACGATCGCTGTCTTGAGTAAACTTCCGCGGTTTAGCTGCTTAGTTATTAATTCCGTAGGTCCAGAAGACGGCCAGTACGATCGTAGCCTGAAAGGTTATGGGTGCAATGCACAGTGCGTTTCTGTGAGGGCCAAGATTTCCTCTGGCTTCCACACTCCGTAGCGACAGAAACGTGTCATTCGACAAGATTCACTGACGTAATAACTAGTTGAGAAACATCGCTCCGTGTTCTTACCAAACAACATATTGCAAATTATAATTTAAAAAAAAATTAAATATCGCCTTCATAATAGTTACCGCTGAAACTCCAGTCAACTTCTGCAAGACTACACGGTCCAATATCCCAGAAGTCTGGCTTCTTCGGAACAATCACTCCTACATCTATGGTATGTTTTATTTTAGATTTACTTTTATTTTATATTATTTTTATTTATATTTTACTGCTACTTTCTAACTATAATTTATATATTTTGCATTTTATTCTCTAAATTCTTTTATAAATTCTTTCAAATTCTTTAGTGTTTCTTTCAATCTTCTACTTACAGACCGATATGTACTTCCAAAAAATTTAAGAAAAGACAACACCTCGCCAAAAATGAAAAACAAACGTAATGAAACATCACCAAATGGAATCATATTTGAGTTTTAAGTTCGTAGATATTTTACACCTGATGATGGTTTTATAAAAACTGAAACATGTAGTGTAAAATGTTCCAAAATGTAAGTCGATCAATCGATATGGAACATCAATGATATTTTATTATCTTAATTATAAGAAATTTTAAATATTGTGATAAGACGGATTAAAATAAATAATTGTTAGTCATGAACTTAGTTCGTGTGCGTTATGTTATGCATTGCAAAAATGACAAATGAAACTAGCAGTATGTCCACAGAGCAACTATCTTCTCACCTAAGGATAAACGCAGTCTCTGGAAAGTATAAAATTTTAAAAAAAAAATATCAATTTTTAAATGTTATGTAACCTCTTGGCAATGTCCAACCAACGCAAGTCCGGGAACAATCTCACTGGCTCTAAAGCGATTAAAAAAATCATCACGTTATGAGATTATAAACATACCAACTTAATACAATGTAAACACTAATTACCGGGGTCTGAATAATTAATATCCTGTGTCCAGTTGCCTCCTCTAAGCCCATCACAATTGGGGA